CAGGGACACAAACTCTAAACTCTTGCCATGCCAAAACACATCAGGGAAATTGAGTGTGAACGTGGTCTACCCTCTCTGCTTTCTCCTTTTACTTCTACCACCTCCATCAGGTTCATTCAGAGCCAAAGCCATTAACTACAACATACATATTTAATACATCATCAATAATTAATGGTTAATAGGCATTTTCTAAAAACTTTAAATATGAGGACCTTATTGTTTGAAGACAAACCTTCAGGTTGCCAAAATATCTGCTTAGGAGAGAACTGGAACAAATTAACTCCACATTGTTTTCGCCCCAGTGGTTATTATCATATCATTTTTATTATATTACATTTAATATAAACCCCAGCAAACTCCAAGAGATATGTGATGGATAAAGTCATTACCTTCTAATTTAGGCAGATTTCCTGTGGAAGACCACACTCACTCACCCCCCTCAGCCCCCCACCTCTCCTCCCAGTATTAAAGGGACACATTTTCATGGAAATACATTTTAAATTCACCAAATGTTAGGTTACTAACCATGTGTTCCAGGCTCAAAGGACACAACCACCCCTCGAGCTCCGTTCACCAGACCCCGAGCCACATCCAGGTTCTTTGTCAGCATGACCTTCAAAGTAAGAGCAAAGTATTAATTAAAAGGACCGTGCACATGAAAAGGGATGACAAGGGATTTGGCAGCAGTAGAAATATAAATATAATGATGGACTGACTGACCCACAGTCGTTACCAAAACCTCAGAATCAGAATGAATAATCCAACCTGAGCTCCCACTTTCAGCTGGATCAGTCTGCTGACGGGGCTGTGACTGTCGATGGTCTTCACCAGTGATGGGTCACTGTCCAGGGCCTCGAACTCCCTCGGCGCTCCTAAGAGGAACACAAGGATTTCATTGTAGTCTAATTTGAAATGTTGACTGTGGTGAAACATGAGGGGCTGACAAAATCAGCAGGGAATAACGTTGATCTGAAACTGACAGTCCTGAGGCGGGATAACAGGAAATTGTTTTCAAATAAGCTTGCCAAACACAGAGGAAACAGTGGTTTTTCTCGTCAAAGCGCACTCCGCCGCACTGACACCTATTAAAAGTTGAGAAAACATAATTGAAAGAAGTGAGACCTGTGAGCTGCTGGAGTTTGTTCTCGTTCGTCAGCTCCACGTCATCCTTGTGTGTGCACAGCCTGGTGGCCAGAATGCCGTCCCTCTCTATTTGATGGTAGGCGCTTTTCATGAGCGTCGCTGTGACTTCCTCTGTCACCCTGGACGGTGTTGAATCAAAACAGAAACTTTTTTAATGTTATTAAAGATGCATATGCAGATATATATATGCAGATTCCATTTTAAAAGATTTAAATGAACATGTGCTCTGTGGATCCATTAGCTAAAAATGCCTATAATTTTACCTGCCCACTCTGACTGCCTGCAGCAGGGAGATGAAGGACTGATCCGTTTGCCTACGCACTTCTATCAGCTCCATATTAAGCTGCATGACTTTGCGCCAACTTCTGGCCTGTAATTTAAAACAAACACGATTATTTTTTTGAATAAGAACTTTAAACCAATATCAATATCCAACAATATCCAACATCGTCTAAACTTCAATTCCGATTACGATATTAGCCGATATTGTTATAGAGTGATGGCCATAAATAATAAAATGAAAATGTATTTGTTTATCTGTACAAACCACTGCATGAATTGCTGGCACCAGCATTCTGCATCATCGGAGTAAAAACCAATAACATTTCTTACAGACTTTTTGTTTTTTGCTAATTTTGGTCGGCCAATATTATTGGACACCCCTACTTTAAACTAATCCAGGAAATTTGGAGAGATTTGGAGATCGTTGACGTGTTAGTGAAGAAAAAACTGACCTGAAAGCAGAAGCTGGCTTTCTCCTTTCCTTTGGAGACAGGAGGCAACTGCAGGAAGTCACCGCACACAATCAGCTGGATTCCACCAAACGGTTGAGTCGACCTCCGTACTGACCTGTCAGAGTCATGTAACGGTTAATCAAACATTACTGATGTAGTGGAGTCACATTCAAAACTACTCCTCTGGTTACCAAACACCTGTATAAATGGAAAACCAGGGGAAAATGTGGCTGAATTTTCTGAAGGTTTTGTAATTAATAATATCATTCAGAATAAAATTGCAAAATTTGGTGACTGTCAGAAGGTTTCAAGGATTTTCTAAAAATATTTTAAGAAAAAAAATGATCACAACTCTGATTCGAAACTGGCCTAGAATCCTACCTGGCAACAGACTCCAGTTTGTCAAAGAACTGGGCCTCCACCATGGAGATCTCGTCAATGATGAGGTGTCGACAGCTGGTCCAGTGCTGCAGGACCCCAGGCCTCTGAGCCAGCGCGATACACTGCTCCAAAGGAGCAGAGCCCGAGCCGATACCTGGGAAAAAACACAGTTGAACAACCGTTGGACTGTGGAAGGAAAAGCCGCTGACACACGGGGAGACCATGCCAACCCCACACTACCACTGGGGGTCAAACCAATGACCTCCTGCTGAGGAAGTCTAGCTGTAAAACCAAATTTCCATACCTGCAAAGTTGTGTAGTGTTGTTCCACCGATGTGGCATGCAGCCACTCCTGTACTGGCTGTGGCGAAAGTGCTCTTTGGAGGAAGAGATCCCATGATTCTCTTGAGCAAAAAAGACTTTCCCGTGCCTAAACAAACAAGTCAGTGAGACTGGAGATTGGAGTTACCAGAGCAAATAGTTCCAACTTTATGGTGAAGTATGTACAGTACGTGACGTGGCTGTTGTAGATCGGCTGCAGACCTACCTGCACTCCCAGTGAAGAAGACGTTCTTTCCACTCAGCACTGCACTGAGAACGGCCGCCTGCTCTTTGTTCAGTTTACGGGATGGCAGAGACAGGATGGGTTTTTTACTCGGATTCTGCTTTACCTAGAAGTATACACATGAAGCAGTTAAATACAAAAATACACCCAAGGACAAAGTACTGCACTGAATATTCATTTAAAAAGGTGTGTAACACTCACTGGACTGAAGTTACAATCAGCCCTCGACCTCTTGACCTGCTGTCCTGGTTTGGCAGCTTTGGTCTTATTGGTCTGGTCTGTCAGTCCACTGGGAGCTGCTTTACTCCTCAGCTCATTGACCTTCTGGATGTCTTTGTGCTGCAGGGGACTGATGGCCTCAAAGCTGCGAGGCAGACCAGCTTTGAGTCTGTCTCTGGCGCTCAGTGGTTTGGTGCCCTGTCTGGCCTGGTGTTTGACGCTCAGAGTTTTGAGGAAGAGGGAGAGTTTGTCAGGGGGGCAGTTGGAGACCAGTACCTGGACGTTCTCAGGGAGCAGCTTCACAGTGCATTTGCCGTCCCTGACGAACTTAGTGAAAAGCCTGAACTCCTTCAAGTTGTAATTTTGTGGGACTTTTCCGTCGTGGACACGGAGGATTATTTCCTGAAACTCATTCCTGCCCAGTATCACAGAGGCCTTCCTGATCACCTGCCTCCGTGTGGCCTGGCCTGCGGCGTTGAGCTGCTCCACTGTGACACAGCACTGCAGCTGAGCTCCGTCATCCCCTTCAAACATCGCAGGAACTTTCTGTTGAATAAGGAAATATTATAAAAGAAATTAATACACATCCAAAAAAAATTAAATAAACACAAGACTAATAATCTGATCCTCCTCAAATGCATCAAAAACAAAACAGTATTAAATAAATAACTTTTTGATGCCTACGTTGTAAAAGCAGATGGGTAATAACCAACAAATTAACAAATACTGTTTTAAAATTTAGCACTTTTTTAAAACAGCACTAGTGTGAATAACTTTATATTTAGACTGCACATCTCAAAGAAGTTGAAGGCATAATACACACAATAATAAAGTGAACAAATTAAATCAAGACCATTGTTTTGTTTTGTTTTCTTGAGTATTCAACCAGTGAAGACGGCAGTTTTACATCACTACAACACACTAAACCAAATAGTTACCCTCTGCTGAGCTCACCGAACACGTCACATCACGGCATACGATTAAATCGTTGTCTTACCTTGATTAATGTTTCCCTAAAAATTAACAATAACCTTCTTTTTGTCTTCGTTCCGATTTCTGTACGGTTGCTCCGCACGCCACAGTACCGATTTTCAAATCATCAGTGGGTAACGCTAGCCAATGACACGGCGCCGCTGTTAACCAATCAATGGGTGGAGATTTAACAAACTGTCCAATGAGCGCCAACCAGAGGCGTGACTTGGTCCTCGTTGACCAATCAAACTGTTGTGTACTGTAACGTCATTGAAGCGCATGGCTCTGCGTGACGTGAACTTTAAAGTGACAATACATGTAAACATTTAAATAATTATTTTTTAAATAATATTTATTCATAATGTTATTATATTATATTGTCTAGATAGGTTTGTTTCAATGTTCATATTAGAAAATATATAATAATTAGCGTCTGCTAAATGCAGAAATGTATTTATAAATGTAATAAGAAACCAGAATAATGAAGTTTTTGTAAGTCCTCATTTAAGGCTGGTTATAAAATGTCCAGTGAATTAAAATTGCAGTAAATAGAGCTTTATAAAGCTATACAAATTATATTCTGGCAATTATTTACAATAATGAAATAATAGCCCTTGGGAACATGCAGTGTTTTAGGGCTAGGTCAGAACAACAGCTGTACTCCACGGACATTTATAGTAAACATGGTCCCTGATTGTTAGTGCAGATATTCAGGCCCAAGTGTTAATGTTGAGGGCAACATGTCACATGACTGTGTTGACCTAAAACATGTTCTAATACTCTGTATTCTGCATAAACAAAGACCAAAGCAGGTCATTAGTCAGCATAGTGTACAAGTGGAAAGCTCCATAAACGAGGCATTATTCAAAAGTTTCTAAATAATAAATGCATTTTGCACAAATGCACCTAGAGGACATTTTCATTAGTGCTCGTCTGTGTGTGTGTGTGTGTAATGGTGGTATTAGTATTCATGAAATGCCATTTATTTATTATAGTTAGGTAGACAGTAACATTTTCTGCCTCCATACGTGGACAAACGATGTTTCCCAACCTTTCTTGAGCCATGGCATACATTTTAATTTTTATTAGAAACCCACATGGTGCATCCCCAAACATGTGTCCATTAATGTATATATAATTAAATACAGTGATCTTCTAGATTCTAGATTTATTCACAGTTTACTAACTTGTGTGAGTGAGGGTCACTCGACGCGGTTCTTAGTTAATAAGGCTGCCAACAGAAGCAGAAACCCCACTGTATCCACTGAGAGTAAAAGACCATTTTCTTTATCCATTGTTACTGAAGAGCTACTCGAATGTTCATTTCCTCTTCTAAAAGGAGCTCATTAAGGTGAGTTCCTCTCTTCGGTACAACAGTGTCGCTGCAGCTTTGTCTGATGGAAACTCAAAGCAGAGAAGATTGGTAAGTACACATGACCCTTGACGTTGTGAAAGACGGTCGATGACTAAAGATAGTGCAGGTGGATTCAATCTTCTCATCTTCATGCTGTGTAGCCGAGCACGTTTGTCTCTTCTTTTCACGTCTCTATTTCTGTACTTTATTTATGGTCTGTGTATCGATCCAGAAATGCAAACAAGTCCTACCTCACACCATATCAACACTTGCTAACTCCTCTCTGGAATCAGACAGGACATCCAAGATGATGGTGTGAGCCCAATATGCATATGTAAGATTTGCTCTGAGAAAACTGCTGTGTCTTTATGTGGTCTATCTTCATGTCTATGTCTGGACTCACCTCGCTGAAAACAATTAAGGAGAAGGCGTTGATGAATCGAGATCTTAATCATCGTAATTACCATCTTCTCCTGACGCTCCAGTATAAGACATCAAGTGGATTTAGTTTCAGTTTTTACTGATTTGAAGTTTTACAGGGCCTGTATTTTTGTCCCGTTTTGAAACGCTCATGTTGGCGTTTCCGTGCAGGAATCAGAATCTTTATACTGTGTGCAGTAAAAGCTCTCACACACACACACACTGATTTCATGAATCATCTGTAAGACAGCAGGACCTGCTGAAAAATGACGTCTCATTATCTCTGAAGTCAAGCACCGGCCTATGACTCAACCCATTATAAGATGGCACACACACACACACACACAAACACACACCAGTGTCACTGAGTTCACTGCAGCAGTAACCCCATCCTTCACTTACATCTCTAACAGTGGGATTGTCTTAGGAAGGAGCGGAGAGGAATAAGGAGCAGGAGAGACACACTCTGTGGTCACTCAGTGAACACACACTCTGTGGTCACTCAGTGAACATCTGTGGTCACTCAGTGAACATCTGTGGTCACGCAGTGAACACACACCTGTGAGCTACAGAAGCCAAACAACAGCAGCGGCTGGTGTGAAACTAAAGGTCACCAGGCTATATTTCCCATAAACAGCCACTCAACTGGAGAGAGTTTAATATTTCCAAGCACTGATGATGCCATAATGATCTGTGCAGGTGTCCACACATCTGACAGACTGTCCAGCAGCCAAGACAGAACAAACTGGAGCGATTTAAGGAATGAAAACACCTCTGAGAGTTCCAAGAACGGCCGTCCTGCTTTTAGAAAACAAAAAAGACAGTCAACACAAAGAAGCCGTTTAGTTCAGTGTCCATCTACCAGCATGTGTTGTGTTATAGCGCCACCATTGTAAATGAGGCAGCTGAGACAGGATGTTGCTGTGCCTTAGCCTGGCACATAATCTAAGTAGAAACTACAACCGGTTGCTTTTATATGTTGTTCTTTGAGTAGTAGAAAAAAAGAGTTTTCTGCCTTCTGCCATTGGTTCCTACAGTTGGTCAACACAAAAACTGTTTGACTTCACCCCTGCTGCTGTGGAATTGGTGGCTAAGTGCTTAAGGAAGCGGACTTGGGTCTGGAAGTCTTCAGGTTTGAGTCCACCAGCTGGCACTGACTCCACACAGTGCTGCCCACTGTTGACTTTGGTGATGGGTTAAAGCAGAAGTTCAAAGGCTGTCAAAGCCACTAATGAGCTGCATGAACGGTAACTCGGTGGTTTTCCAAAAAGTTTACTAAAGCAAAACAAACAAATCACTGAAGAGAAAACCTTTACATCCCCACTCTTGTCCCAGCTCCCTGTCATAACTCTGTTACATTTCCTAAGTATATTCCTACATTTCTGCTCTCACAGCTGCTCTTCCTGTTGTCTTTCAACCTTGACATATCTTTTCAATTTTCCTAACACACTGTTGTCTCTCAAAAACCAAAACAGCTTCGGGCAAATGGCCGCCATCACCATGGAAACACATCCGCTGCAATAACGGCCCGACTTTTAGTTTGGCAGTTTAAGGTCTGGTGTGGAGGGAGAACATCTGCAGCGGTCTGCAGCGCTCATCCATCCAGCCGTGGTAAACAGTGGGGGAAACTGGAGGCTCGGGACGACAGAGACGGACAAGAGAGAGAAAGTTGTGACTCAAAAGTTGACTTTTTTCATTCTACTTTTTAACTATGAGCCATTTGATGTCATTAATGAGAAGGAACCAGTAACAGATACTTGTCATATTGTGAGTCACAACAGTTTGACTCCATTGGATCACACGGTTTAATTTGCCTCTTTTCTTTTAATCCAAGCCTGGTGACAGACAGCAGGTGTCAGTGAGGTGACACCGTCTGTGATAATGAGGCTGTGGTCACAGTGTAGTAAACACTCACATGCTGAATATCCAGCTGAGGAACTGGAGTTCCAGCTGAGTTTCTCTGTGGTCCCTGACTCTGTTAATTAATAGACCCTGAGGAGGAGAAAAGGACAACAGATACATTTCTAATTTTCATATTAGGTGATTAGATTTCCCATGGTGCCGTGCGTATCTTCACGCTCAGTCGCTCTGGTAAACTTGCATCTGAAGATTCTCCTAATTGCAGTGGAGCAACCAGGAGTGACAGGAGGAGAAGGGAGCTGAGCAGAGGAACGCCACACGAAGTTACAGACAAGGTGGAGTTCAGAGAAGTGTTGGACAGTTGGATGGAGGTCAGTGTCATTTTCAGAAGCAGCAGAAGCAGCAGTGTAGACAGACACGGAGGGTGTAGACAGACCACGAGGTGGAAAATAGAAGTGAAGGGTTGAGGCGTGAGTCAGGTGAAAACTGGTTGATGCCACAACTATAACTGACACGGCTGACCTTTTTAACATCACTGAACGCACTCTGTCTCAGTGAAGTCCCCAAAAATGTCCAATCTTCACTCAGTCAACTGCAGTTTTTACTGCGATACTCTGAACGATACTGTGATCGTGTCAATTACAGCTGATATTATTGTCATATACTGTATAACAGGGATATGAAATCTGACACTTTATTACACTTTATTCCTCTCCCCTCAGCCTTATACCATGTATTTCCACCATTCACCGTTGGTGAATGCAATACTTTAAAGCTGTGATATTGGATTAGTGTTGTATAAGTAGCAGTTAATACAGTCTGGGTAAAGGCTTTGAGGTGAGTAATATGGAAGAGCATTCATCTGGAGGAACAGAAACGGAGAATTTGATCATTTTAGATGCATCAGAAATATCTTTTTTTCATGTTTTTCCCCCACTTATACAAAGAGATGAGGTTTGAATCATATCCACATGGCTTTGTTTCATTAGAGTCTTTTCTTGTTTTGCATCCAAATGAGAAAATCACACAGATGAAAACTCACACTTGTCAGTACAAAAGCTGATGTCATTTTTGTCTGTCAGCCTTAGAGAAATCCACATCTGTTCCATAGATGATAAAGGAAAAAAAAGTGTAGTAAGGAGTCGTTAATAAATGGAAATAAATAAGCCAATGATGTGACTATTACCACACACGCCTTCACCTCTTACGGTTATTTTATTAATGGTTCAATGTTATTGCTGTGTTTCCATATCTCCAAATTATAAGAAAAAGAAGAATCACTGGACCATGAGACATTTGACACGAGTGAGTCTTTATTTATGTCTCCAGTGTTTCTGTAGAGTTGTGAGTCACAAGATGAACATGTTTAATATCCTGGAACCAGCTGCTCAGACGACCCTCTGTCTGTCTCTCTCTCTCTCTCTCTCTCTAAATACATCATTAGAACTGAATGGTATTTGCCCCACATTTCTGCCCCACACTAAATGGGGCTATAACCCTGATGGTGCCTGGTGTGCGGACTGTTTACCTTATCTCCTAAGGTTTGGACCCTTATTTCTTTACATCCGCTGTTACTATGGTAACTGTGGCGGTTAGATGGAATCTGTGTCTTTTCATCTGTCTATGAGACTGTTATTTATAAACTTATTCAAGGACAAATAATTGAATGGGCGGTCATTTTTAAAAGTACTGATCACCAACCGACACCAATCGGACGTTAAGTTCTGATTTTTTTTTCCACCCTTCTCTGTTCTGTTTAACAGCAATATTATCACTACTGTGACCACTTTGTCCACATGAAACATCTACAGAGAAGCCACGCAGAGAGAGGACTGCAAATGGATTTACAGCACACTGTGAGCTGCAGGCCTCCCAAAAATGAGAGTCAAAAGATGGAGGTGTGTGGGATTCACACATGACCTACGCTGACAAATTCAAGGACACGAGTGGGATGTTGAACAGTAAAATACACGAGGATCTGGGAGTAGGTGGGAGAAACTAATCTGCATCACCCCTCAGGTTTTATCACACTCATCTTATGTTCCATGGACGACGACCGAGGCCTGTGTCCATCATCAGTGAGTCTTTATTACTAATCCTACATCAGGAGGCTTTGGAACTCTAATAAAGTACCGACGGAGAGCAGAAAAAAACGGTGATCTTAGAGCAGGAGGACGGAGACGACAGAGGGAAACCCAGAGAGGATAGAGAAGCAAATACAGTGGGAGAGAGCAGAGAGACTAAATGAGTCTCAGTGTCCCCCGTGTAATGAGGTTGGCGAGCTGCAGCAGACGCAGCCGTGTGATTGGACATCTGTGTGGCGAGGTGGCGGTAGAAGAAAAATCAGATTGAGCTGCACGATGACATCGCAGAGACGCAAAGCAAAGCCACCACCCGCATCGAGCTGCCTGAAGACTTACAGACCATCAGCATCAAGCATCGCCATTAAATTAGAGCCGGCCAGACGGACGTCATCGTGGAGTCATCACCACCTTTCATTCTCTTCACTTTTCCCTGAAAGGAAACCTGTGCAAACCATGTGAAGTGAAAGTGTGTCACAGAACACAGGGGAGAAAAGTCCCTGGTTTAGTTAGCATCTGCAACTAGAATTACTGTACATCCATGTCTGTTTGACATATTTGTACTTTACATTTGAATAGCTGATCGTTCATTTCCTGCATCTCATTCCAATGTGAAAAAGTCGACTGTTTCTGGTTTAGATTTCCTCCTCTATTTTGTCTCTGTAAACACTTTTACTTATGTCCTTGCAATTTCTATTCTCAACCATGTTATAAACTGATTAAACCAATCAGGATCTTTAACTCTGTCACCTCCAGCTCCACAGCATGTCTTTCAACCAGGCTACAGACCAGGCTATGATGATGTAACCTGCATCAAAAATGATCATAAATAAACCAAATACACATTTGTTGCCCTCGTGGCAAATGGCCACAACTATTTATCTTACCTACCGCTACCTTTAGATCTACAGTGTAACCTGCATCAAAAATGATCATAAATAAACCAAATACACATTTGTTGCCCTCGTGGCAAATGGCCACAACTATTTATCTTACCTACCGCTACCTTTAGATCTACAGCTAGATGGCGATCTACTGTAGAGCAGGTCTCACTACTGACAGTAAACCATGTTTTTGTAACTGCTATCTTTCTGTGTCTTATCTCAACCTTCTTCATCTTCCAGGTTCCTTGATTGTTTATCATGTTTATCATTAGGTCACAGACTGGCTTTTGTAAAGGTAAGGCTAATAGTTTCATGGTGTCCCATCGTTCATCTTCAACTATAAAGGTTAACACTCTGGTTATTTGAATTTATATCATTTTATACCCAATTAACCTGACAAAAGAAAGGATTCCTTTAACGGCTCGTTCACAGTCACTCCAGTGTAACGAGGCTCTGTGTGATTATCCTCTGATCAATACCTCATTAATAATGACTTTCCTCCAGGAATTAAAAAAAAATCAATAAAGGTGTTTTGTTCATATTAAATTAGTCTGAATCTAAACACTCCTCCAGCTGTTGTCTTTGGGGGCTGCTCTTTAACTTCTATTTTTAACCCACAGTTATAATATCACACCTTATTGATAACAGCAGATCAGAAGTGCTGTATGAGAGTCAGCATTTTTCCAAGGACTCTTAAGAGATTCAGAGAAAAGAATAAAATCCTGCCACGGTCAGGTACATGGTTAAAAAAAAGCAACAAGACTAATCCTGCCAGTTTGTTCTTGGTGTGTGTGTGTGTGTGTTCAGAAAGACAGACGGTGGACGTGAGATATTGGTTCGTGACCAGTTTCTTTTATAACCAGGGAATCTGAAGCCTGATCCTGATGATTCACGACCTTTTCTCCGAGGCTCTGGTTAGAGTCAAGACCTGGACGTGGATTGGTGAAAATGAAAGTTAGCCATTGTTCACAGCGTCCACAGGGATGTTTTTATGTGTAGGCATTAGAGGCAGTGACGTCTGGAAGTGTTATTACAGTGTGGAAAGGAACTCCGGCCTGCAAACACACACACCCAGGAGGCAGGGGGAGATGGAGGAGGAGGAAAGGAGGGATGGAATCTACAGCCACAGAGCCTTGGTCTTCCATTGACAGATCGACTTTCCCCCCTGAGGTGTATGATAAATTCTCTCATTTAAACTGAGTGGATTTCCTTCATCCTACACCTCCTCCTCCTCTGCGTGGTGGTGAGTGTGTCAGTGTAAATGTATAGTGTCTTATAGGCTATAATTAAGTGTAAAAATGCAGTGATTAACACTACAAAGAGCGCTCACCTGTGCAGTAGCTACAAAGACAACACACACAGAGTTGCAGTAAAGCCTTTATTGTTACAAAGCTCCCTCTGCATCACACTGGCAGATCTACGTATGAGCCACAGTATACTGCAGGTAATTTTGCAGCTCATTGAAGAAATGGCACAGCTACAGATCACACTTCACTTCAACAAAGCAAATAAACATGTGATAATACCCTCAGGTCGGGAGCTGTGGGCTGGGGATCTATAAAAGTCAACAATCACTAGGCACAGTTGGTCACTGTCGTATCAATTTGATCGATAAATATAGCTGACGTAAGTGCCTTTCACTGCAGCTCTTCGGCGTTTGTTGTCATAACAGTATGTCAACACGTCCGTAACCGAGACATGGTTCAGAATATTCAAGGTCCACTTCAGTCTGGACACCACAGACGGACTGGAGATCTTAAAATGACAAAGTTTCCACACAACTAGATGATTTGATCACTCAACGTGTTTCTAAGCTACGGTTAATCGATCAGCAGGTGAAGCGCAGCAGGAGCGTCGCCACTCTCCCCGCTCATGGTGCTGATTCTTGTCAGGGAGTTGTCCTTGGTGCTGAAGTCAAAGATGACCGCACCTCTTCATATATCTCCGGTATATATATATATTTAGAACATATTAAACTACTTTTGGTATATGTATAGGTGGAAAAGTTGCACACTGAGTACACGTTACCTCCCAGTAACGAGTAACGAGTGTTTACGCAGCGTCTGCATATGTAACTACAACATCAAACAAGCGGTAACAAAGGGCGAATCCTGACAAGTATGTTCATAAAAATGCATCATCACATGGGTCATAAATGTCTCCATATGTGGCACCAACTTTCAGTGACTACTTCACACTCCTACAGTTGCTGTAAAAGTTGACTTTTCTGCCAATCGACACCAGATGTCGGTGTTTGGTTCTGTTTTGAATGTGTTAATGGTGTGAATAATGGGAAATGTAGCGATGTCACTGGATTAGAAATGTGATCCTGGGAAACCTGTGTGGTAGTACTCACAGCCCGCACGTCACTGACCTGACATCAGCACACAGTTTAAAACCCTGCAGCAGCAGGCAGTGCAAACACACCTTCATCAGGGCGCACGGAGAGAGAGAGAGAGAGAGACCAACACACAACAAAGAGTTCAGCTTGGAGAGCTACTGCTGTCAATAAGTGTACTGGAGGATTAAAGGAGCAACGATGTTTTATTTCCAGTAGAGCACACTGACCCAGACACCTCTGAGCTCCAAACCACCCTTAAAAGAATGATCAACGACACTTTCGTTCTGTCTGAACTGGATGTCAATGTCTCGGAAGCTCTCAGTCCTCTCTCCCTCAGCCGCAACCAGAGCGCGCTGCGGCTCGAGTCCAAGTCTCTGGTCACTTCTGCCTCTATGTTCGCCGTGGGAGTCCTGGGGAACCTCATCGCCATAGCCGTGCTGTGTATCTCCAAGAAGGAGCAGAAGGAAACCACCTTCTACACCTTGGTGTGTGGCATGGCCATCACTGACCTGCTGGGCACCTGTTTCACCAGCCCCGTGGTCATCGCCACCTACGTGGCCAGCCGCTGGCCAGGAGGAGCGCTGCTGTGCCACTTCTTCTCCTTCTCCATGCTCTTCTTCGGCTCTGCCGGGATGTCCATCCTGTGCGCAATGGCCGTGGAGCGGTACCTGGCCATAAACCACGCGTACTTCTACTCCCAGCACATAGACCGGACCATGGCGCGGTTCGCGCTCTTGGTGACTTATCTGGTCAACATCGTTCTGTGCATTTTGCCCAGTTTTGGCTTCGGGCAGCACGTGAGGCACTTCCCAGGAACTTGGTGCTTTCTGAACTGGAGGGCGGTGGACCCGCTGGGCGCCTGCTACTCCTTTCTGTACGGGGGCGTGATGCTGCTGCTGATCGCCGTGACAGTTCTGTGTAACTTGGCGGTGTGCAGGTCACTGGTGGGGATGAACCAGAGGACGGGGATCGTGAGGACAGAGTCCTGTGAACACGGGGGTTCGCGGCGACTGTTCCCTCGACTGCCCTCCGTCACTTCGGCGGCAGAGATCCAGATGTTCTGGCTGCTGATCTTCATGACCATCGTGTTTCTGGTCTGCTCCATCCCTTTGGTGGTAAGAAAACATCTTCTTCTGGTTTGATGCACAGACTGATCCAGATGTTTCTGATGTTTCTTCTTCATCCTTTCTCTCTTTGACCTTTTACCCTTCTACAGGTGCGTATCTTCGTCAACCAGCTCTACGACCCTGCCTACATCTCTGCTGGTGGGAAACCAGATTACAGGAGCGACCTGCTGGCGATACGCTTCGCCTCATTTAACCCCATCCTGGACCCCTGGGTCTACATTCTGTGCCGGAAAAACCTGCTCCTGAAGGGCTGTGAGAGACTGAAGAGGACGGTGACCCGGGCCAGAGATGGGCGCAAAGACAACGCGGGCTGGGTTGGAAGCCAACACTCTCCTCCGTCCTTAAACAGCAACGACACCAGTTACGCGTCATTACGCACGGCCAGCTGCAGGACCTATGTGGAGCAGCAGATACAGATGAAAAACCAGTCGTTTACAGACTTCACCCTGAGACAAGCCTGGGAGTTGGACACAGCCCGGGTCAACTTTCACCCGTTTAGAGTGGAGTCGACCGCCATCATCGCCTGTGAGGAGGAAACGGCAGCGGCCGAATCCAAAGAAGATGAGGTTGAGGTGGAGGAGGAGGAGGAGGAGGAGGATGGACGAGCTCCGACCTTTACAGAAAAGTGGACACTGTCGGACGTCCATTAAAGAAATGCCTTTAATGGACGTTTGATTCGAAATGAGTCCAGCAGGGGGGGCCACAGCAACGCACTGTGAGAGATAAACTCTCTACAATGTAGAGACAATATTACTACCTGCACGCAGTCTCGTTGACGTGTGATGTACATGTTACGACAGGTTCACTGTGTAACGTTGGGTTCATTTACGTTTACATTTACAAACATTCTTGCATCTTGTTTCTGTCCTTGACCCGACATAGCAGTGAAGGTTCGATGAATATTATGAATATGAATAATTCCATCAGTGCAATGAAAGACATCTGATCTCTAGTAAACAGAACAAGTAGGAAAAAGCTGATCATTTCCATAACATGGGGATGCTGGAATAAATCCCTATGGGCATACAGTACATGTGCTATATGTTTTTAAATATAGTGTTCTGTTGTTAAAGTGTTGTTAAAGAGCATTTCATACTTGTTTTTCAAACATGCTGCTATTTTACTTAATGCCATCAAAGGTGTTGCACAATGCAGTGAAAAAGAAATGTACTGAGAACGTGTTTAAATGTTGTTTCCTGTTGTGGTCATGTTATGTTTTCATGTAAGAAGCCGACACGAACATGTTGTTTTAAGGAAGAGCAAAAAAACGCTAAGGTCACCAGCTAAATCAGCCCAACTGCATTATACAGTACCACAGAGCATCCATATATATGTATATATATGGATGCTAAGAAAGGAAGCAGACAAGATACATCGAAATGTTCTGTTTGTTTGACCCTTTAGAACTGTGTGATGCTTGTGTTTTCTGGCTTGTACGCACAAATAAAGTGACACTTAGAAAGGACATAAACAACTTTTTTTTTGCCGTTCAATCCATTGAATAACTCACTGCAAGTGGGTGGCAGCCGACTACTTAAACTACTTGATTATAGTCATGTTGAAAGGCAATAGTCAAGTATACAGAGGAATATGAGTAACAAAACAATAACCTGGAAATTCTAATAAACCCCTTATTAAAATGTATTTAATAAAAGTATTTCATGTGAAGTACACGTGTCCATATATATGTAGAATAGGAGAGAGTGAAAGAGAGAAAGGGATACTTAGTTCAATGATAATAACAATAATAATAATAATAATAATAATAATAATAATAATAATAATAATAATAATAATAATAATAATATAATTAATAATAATAATAATAATAATAATAATAATTCACGCTTTACTCACAGAAACCAGGACCAGGAGAAGAACAAGAATCACAGTCACACCCAGGAACAGTGACCCAGCAGACAGAGTGAGGGAGAGAAGACACCAGGTAAGACTGATCAACAGACACAGGTGAGAGTGACGACACTAATTAACCCTGGAGAGACAGACAGACAGAGCTGACACAGACGGCACATAGGCACAAATTGCATCTCGTTGTTGTAATTCTAATTTCATAGCAGCTGGTGGCGCTGTAGGACAGCCAATTCTTTGTAAATTGTACCAGGCTAAAGCCAAGGTACAGACAAACTGAAATCAAGTTATTCTATCTGTGCAGTAAAAAGCAAAGAAAACAAGTCGTATATTTAAAAAAAACAACAACAACTTTATTCCCTTGGAGGATAATGTCATACAAAAATAAAGAAACTTCATGTCATAATAATAATAATAAAAATAATAATTAATATAATAATATTAAAATGTGACATACTGAAATCACTTACTGGGACATGTAAAAAATAAAGAGAAACACTGAGGTCCTGGAGCATAAATGTGTGCCTTCGTTGCTGTACATACATTCTGGGAGTGGAAGTGATTTTCTTTTTTTTTTGTCTGCAGTGGGAAAATCTGACATTGTGATCCAGAGGTAAACACCAAACTGGAGATCAGTGCTCCAGAGTGTGGGAAGATCCTGAGGAAAAATGTCCACAGAGTTTTACCACATCGGTTCAATGAGGATCAATTTGTTTCTGGTCATTGTATTCAAGGTTTGGAGACGTGACCGTGGGATAAAATATATGGGAAAACCTGCTGTATCTGAGTCGCCTTCAGAGGAATATTAAACTCTTTACGACATGTTAAGAACATCTGCACAATCCTGCACTTAGAAACATGTGCACTATGTGGAGAGCAGAAGAAACATGACATCTGTAATAAATAGATATTTATCCACAACATAGAGTTCATTAAAAAACAACAGCTCTCACATGAAGCAATAATAAATAAATAATTTACCAGAAATAAATATAGTTTACTTAGTAATACAGTAATACATGAAGATGCATGGCATCTATTTGGCTGAGTTCACCTGAACATTGAAATGCTGCACTGTTATTCGTGTCCCTGTTCTTAGAAGGAGTGATCCTGGACTTCTTTGATAGAGAAACATAACAGTTTCTAACCCATAGATGGTGCTGTTGGTCACAGAGTTGTGTCAGTAGAAAATATATTTTGTTGGACATCAGTCTTTTTAGGTTCAACCAGTATCCAAACACAGCGTCAGTCCTTGAACTGTCTTTTTTGTGTCTCTTGAGAGTTGTCTCGCCCACATCAAATCAAACAGTCATGTCCACACACAGAGTCTCTTCTGTGAGCCCAGGCTGGACTGCTGTTTACTGCAGTCACCACTCGTTCCGTTGAAAACAATTTATTCTTTTGATGAGGCCACTGTGAATCCAGCCTGTGTTTTTCAG